TGTGCCACGTCAGCACGCCGCCGACCAGACCACCGACCGGTGGGGCGCGGGGGGCGGTGCCTTCTTCGGTAGTTCGGCGGAGAGGAAGATGGACTCGATCTGGCCGAACCGGCCGAACAGGGCGCTCACGTCGCTCTTCGTTATCGTGACCGGCGCGTTGGCCGCGTACACCGCTCGAATCTGAGATGGTACCCCACGCGGGTCTTAGAATTCGAGCGGCGACGACACGCGACACATGACATGACACGACACGACACACGCAACGACCGCACACGCGCCCACATGCGAAGTCGATGGGAGGAGGGGGTTACGGTGTCGTCGTAGCGTTCGGGTCTCCGCCAGTCGATTCTGAGCGGCGCGTCCCCGATCGCATAGCCGGTGTCCACCATGTCTGACAGACAACCGCACGTTCGACCAACACGACACGACACACACGACACACGGCAAGTCAGCTTCCACAAGAGTCCCCACGGGGCCGACCGGACTCAAAGAGCGCTCGCGCGCACGGGTGCGGCTGATCGTCACCGCTGCCGGCGCAGGCGAACGCTTCGGGCGCGAGGAAGAGGGAAGAAGGGAGTACAGCGGTGGAGACGAACGGCCTCCGCGCTAGAGCTTAACTCCAGGTGGGCGACCCCGCGGTTCTTCAGCCCGCCCAAATTCTTGTGCTGATGATGATGAAGATGATGATGATGGCGGTTGAGGTGGGAGTGCAACAGGACCCAGCCAGCACAACCAACCAGGCAGGCAGAAAGAGCGTTCGCATTCGTGCCGCATGTCGTGTGCGTGTGCGGTGGCAGCGTGTGTGCGTGTCATGAAGTCGGGAGAGGGCGTTGGTTAATCTCTGAAGAAGAGATGTTGCCGTACTACGGTGTGCAGTTGCACATCGAGAAGTTCAAATGTTGCAGAAATGAACAAAAATCGAAAAAAGGGAGGAAAATAGATCCAATCGAGTAGCGGGAGCACTTGCATGGATGAATTCGATGGCTGGGGGTAAACAAGAGGTTGGGGGGAGGAACGATGATGGGTGTGTACCTGCATTAGAAGGATCTCGCAGTTGATTTCGTGCCAGAAGGGAATGGTGCGCTGGAGGTGAAACTCGACTTCGGTGGTGCCCCACAACTTGTTGACGTTGGCCACCATGAGCGTCCAGCGGCCCGTAATCGGATCGCGCAGCTCCTCCATCTCATCCTCTGCCTTGCTCTCATTTTGTACTTCTTTTTTCTCTACTTCTGCAGCGACTGCTGTTGGCGCAGCTGAGACGGCCACCTCTACCTTGTCTGCCACCGCGCCAGCTGGGGCTGCAGCTTCTTCAGGTGCTGCAGAAGGCGGGCCACCTTCTGCTGACGCCTCCATCTCTGTTTGAAATAAAACTAAATTATGAATTATTTGAAAATAAAAGTTTTTCACCCCAACGAAATCTCCAAAGCATGTTTGGAATGGGCCGCAGTTTTCGCTTCCATTTCGCAATCTGAGACTCTTCTTCGTTTTCGTTTCTGAAGCTCTCTTGAAGTCGTAGCGGAGCGCCTCCACCTTCCTTCTTTCTCCTCCTGCACCAGGGCCAGCAGCACCTCTTCCTCCTGACGTCAATCTCTTTCGAGATGGACCTCAGTCACCTGATTCGCTCACAAGTGGTGCTGTCCGCTGCCTTCTTCCCTCCACCTCCCGCACCCTCGCCCCAGTACGTGTCCCTTGGCTTGCCCTTGATAATAAGGGCTATTATTCTGATTTTATTTTTATTTTGTTAATATATTACTTAATAAATTTCAACTTTCCTCTGTTGTCATCAGGGCTGAGAACCGTAGGAGGCTGACAGGGGCCAGCCCGTCGCTGGTCGACCTCGCCGCCAAGGTGGTGGCCGTCAACTTTGAACTGTTCGCACCCTCGGCCTTCTATCATCGATCCATGATGATGGTGACACATTCATTCTCTGACACCTCAACGTGGTCGTGAAATGTAGGTACCAGGACTGCTGGGTCCCTAAACCGTTGCATGTGCACCTCCAAAAGTTCATGGAGCCGAAAGCCCAGCGCCAGATGCTCGATGGTGAGTACACCCACCGCAGGCAACACAACGCACAGCTGATCCTAGTCATAGTGGTTGACTTTGGCTTCATTTCCATTCTTCACAGCTGTGAAGAAGTACCACCCCAACGGGAACGTCAAGTCCAACAAGGAGTTCGACGACGAGGGCCAACTGCACGGCAAGATGGAGGAGTGGTATGCCAACGGCCACGTACGTGCGCTCCGTTCCTTGACGAACTCCTTTATTCCCGAAGAAGATGACGATGGCGATGACGATGAGGGCTCACGCAAGCGTGGTTCGTGTGTGTGTTGTGTGTCGTGTGTGTGTGTGGTGAGCAGAAATGTCGTGAGGAGTGCTACGAGCACGGGGTGCTGAACGGAGAGGCGCGCTGGTGGCACGAAGCGGGCGGGTTGTGGACCCAGCAGCACTTCCTCAACGTACTCACCTCCCGTGCGGCACACACCGCCTTTTTCTGGACTCACAAAAGGCTGCGTTGATCGTTGTCTGTTTTTTTTTGTTTTCTGCAGGGGCACAGGCACGGCAAGTGCGTGTGGTACTACCCAAGCGGGAAGCCGCACAGGATTGTGAACTACAAGAACGGGCTCAAGTACGTAGCCCTCGACGTGAGCGTCAGCTGAACCTGCGATGAATCGACTCTCTGACGGATGAGCTGATGATGACGATGATGACGATGGTGTGGTGCCTGTGTTCAATAGGGACGGCCATTGCGAGACCTACTACCCCAACGGCTTGAAGTGCGAGGAGGGCCAGTACCAGGACGACCAGGAGGTGGGCCAGTGGCGCAAGTGGTCCCGCATGGGCCACTTCCTCGGCTGCAGCGAGCCCTCCACCATCGACCACCCGCTGCCCGGCCCCAGCACCAACTGAAGAGCCTGCCAACTCTGTTTTTATTTATTTGTTTATTTGTTTATTTTGGCTTATTTTGATTATTTATTGTTAAAATCAAAATAAATAAAAACCAAGAATGCGCGTTATGCGGGGGTGGAGGGTTGGTTGGGGGCGGTGGCGGTGGTCGGGTTGCCGTGGTGGGCCGCCTCGAGCTGGTGCCGCCACATGGCGGCGTAGAGGCCGTTGCGCGCGATGAGCTGGTGGTGGCTGCCGCTCTCCACGACATTGCCGCCCTTCATCACCATCACCACGTCCGCGTCCACCACCGTCGACAGCCGGTGTGCGATGATCAGCGTCGTCTTGCCACGCGTCAGCTGGGCCAGCGATTGCTATGACACCGACACCGCACACAAACGCACACGCACACGCACACGCACACGCACATGACAGGCTCTTCAGTTGGTGAGGAATGCGTGGAATGGCGGGTGGAGAGGGTACGCGCACCTGGACTTCGCGTTCGGTGGCTGTGTCGATGGACGAGGTGGCTTCGTCGCACAGGAGGATGGGCGCGTCCTTGAGCAGGGCGCGCGCGATGGCGATCCGCTGCTTCTCGCCGCCCGACAGCTTCAGGCCGCGCTCGCCCACCACCGTCTCATACCCCATCTGCCCCAAAACACAACAATTAATACATAAATAAAGCAAGTAATTGAATAATAATATTGTAATAATAATAGTGGCTAATAAACAATAAAAATTTACAATAATGAATAAAAAAAGGGAGGGCAGAAGTACGGGCATTTGGCGGATGGCGTCGTCGATGCGGGCGAGACGCGCGGCTTCGAGCACTTCTTCGCGCGTGGCGGTGGGTCGGCCGTACGCGATGTTGTAGAAGATGGTGTCGTTGAACAGCACCGTGTCCTGCAAACAACGCGCCATTGGTCAGTTTTGTTTTACATAAAATGGCCAGGTGATTGCTTCGGGGGGAGAGAGAGAGAGGCCCACCTGGGGGATGACGGCGATGGCCTTGCGGAGGCTCTCGAGGGTGACGTGACGAATGTCCTGCCCGTCGATCAGCACTCGCCCCTGCTCGGGATCGTAGAATCGGAACAGCAAACGGAAGATGGTCGACTTGCTACTCATGCACACGACACATGACACACGACACACGACACACGACACACGACACACGACACACGACACAACCGCACACGGCACGACAGGCGCACGCAGAACGCACAGGTTGGTGGTTGAGAGCTGCGAGAGTGGGCAAGGCGGCGAGGGGTACCCGGAGCCGGTGGTGCCGACGAAGGCGACCTTGGAGCCGGGCGGGACGTTGAAGGTGGCCCCGTTCAGGATGGTGCGCTCGGGCGTGTAGCCGAAGCCGACGCCCTCAAAGCTGATCTCGCCCTTGCTCACTCGCAGGTCCGTAGCGCCCGGCTCGTTCTTGAAGAGACGCGAGATATAATCAACACATTGCGTCGTGTGTGTGTGTTAACATGTGTAACATATCAGTGTTTGCGCGTTGGACAGGTGACGCTGTACCTTGACGTCGGTGTTCAGCGACAGAAGACCAAACATGGTCTCCATGTCGGTGAACGACTGCCTGAGCTCCCGGTACACCGTTCCCTGGCGGTATTTAAAGAAAGTAATGAGCGCGTAGGCAGTGAGTGCGATGACGCGATGGTGCGCGCGTGTCGCGTAGGAAGGCGGGCCAAACCAGGAAATTGAGTGGCAGCGAGAGCTGGAACAGGAGACCGTTGACCATCACCAAGTCGCCGATGGTATATGAGCCTTCGGTTTCCATATGTAAAGTGTGCGAGTACAGAAGAGAAAGGTGTGAGGAAAAGGCGCAGCAGGCCTGACTCGCTTCAACTTCAACGTAAGGAAAGGCGCACGCACCGGCGCTAATGCCCTGGGCGGTGAGGATCATGGCGGTGGTGATGGCAGCGCTGAAGATGAAGTTTTGGCCGAAGTTCAGCATCCCGAGGCTGCTCTGTAGGAGTCCAAAGAAAAGAAAAGAAAAAAGAAAAGAGACCGTCGTGGAGGTGAGCCAAGGGAGAGCCTAGTCCGCTCAGCGAGGAGTCACACGGCACACACTCCCCACCGCGCCGCCGATGCCAAGCGAGCGTACATTGGTCTTGAGCGAGGCCGCGCTGTACTTTGCAAAGTACTTGTCGTAGCGCTCGGCTTCCATCTTCTCGTTGTTGAAGTACTGCCAAGAAGGGGGAATGAAGTGAATTCACACGTGAGTCGCGCCCACGCACACACGTTTACAGCGCGCTCGGTGACAAGTCTTCGTACTTTGACGGTCTCGTAATTGATGAGCGAGTCGATGGCCTTGGACGACGCCTCGGATTCCATGGCGTTCATCTCCTTGCGGAACTTGGTTCTGCCCAAGAGAAAAAAAAGAAAGAAGGCGAAGAACGAAAGACGGTGAGGGGGGGGAGGCTTGACGGACCGGGCGATAGTGGGTTAGTAGTACCTCCACTGGGTCACACCGAAGGTGTACGCTGTGTAGACGCCGATCGTTCCGGCCGTCAACGCCGCAAACTGGGCTCCGTACTGGTAGGTCTGGAGTGGCCGCAATTGGTAAACCGCACGACACGCACGACACGCATGGCACACGGCACACGGCACAGCACACGGCGCACACGGCATACCAGAATGGAGCAGACCAAACCGATCTCGAGTATGGTGGGCAGGATGTTGAAGACCATGGAGGTGAGCACGAAGTTGATGCCTCGGGTGCCGCGGTCGATGGCGCGGGCCAAGCCGCCCGTCTGGCGCGAGAGGTGGAAGCGGAGGTCGAGCGAGAGCAGGTGGAGGAAGGTGTTGCAGGCCACCTGGCGGATGGACGACTGCGCCACCTTGGAGAACACCACGTTCCTCAGCTCGGTGAAACCCGCCGCGCCCACACGCGCTGCTCCGTCTGCACAGCCATCGTAAGTGTGCGTGTGCGTGTGCGTGTGCGTGTGCGTGTGCGTGTGCGTGTGCGACGTAGGAAGACCGAGAGAGAGGAGGCGCGCACAAGCAAGCAAAATGGCGATCGGGACGAGCGCTACATTTTCGGTGGTGGCGTTCAGCAGGTCGACGGCCTCCTTGAAGAGGAACGGCACTTGCACGTTGAGAATCTGCAAAACAACGTCGATCGCACACGACACAACACAGCACGGTGGTCAGGACACGGAACAAGCAGTGTCGTGTCGTTGGTCGTGTCGTGTCGTGTCGTGTCGCAAAGAGTGGGTGCGTGCCTTGGAGCCGACGAGCAGCGCCACGGCGGCGAGTACGCGGCGCTTGATGGCCGGGTTGTCCTTGGGCCACAGATAGCCCGAGAGGCTCTTCATGATGGCCCACCCGCTGCCGCTGTCGGGCAGGCCCTTGAGCTTGGTCGGGCCGGCCGCCTTCGCCGGCGTAGTGCCGGCCGGCGGCGCTGCGGGCTTTGCCGCCACCCCCTCGGCAGCTGCTTTCGAAGCGCCGCCGGCTTCCGTTGCCACCATCCGCCGTGCTGGGCCGCCGAGGCCACACCCGCCCCTGCATCGATCGAGTAAAAGAGAAAAAAATCAAATAAATAAATCATAAATAGACAAATAAGAGAGAAATAAAAATGGAAGCAAAGGGGCGGGACCAAGAGGGGGTGAGTGCAGGGTTGTAGCGGAGGGTGGTGCTTCGAAGCGGCGCGCTGCATCCTCGTGAGGCGATGGAGATTGCTGCAGTTGCGCCGCTGCCAGATCTCCACGCCAATGTCCCTCCCCTTGATGCTGTCACCGAGGATCGCACCCCACGCCAACCGGACGCCCTCAGCATCGTCGGCAGTGAATTTGTTATCTTTTTTTCTTTTCTTTTTTTATGATCTTGAATTTGACTTTTTCCGATTTGCTCTAGAGCACACAAATAAGTTTGCAAAACAATTTTGGTCATTTGTGAGCAGATGTGTGGGTTGCTGGGCATGGTGGGTACAAACATGTGATGATCTTTGGTGTGGGCTGCACCAGCCCACCCACCCACCTGCCCCTGTATAAGAACTGTCACAGTCATTTTTGAGATCATTTCAAATGAGCACAAGGTAATGAGTGCCAAGATATTGGTGAAAAATATGGCATAGACCCCGCTGGGAGGCAGCTGCCTATGAGGAGATGGAAGAAGTTGGTGGCAGAGGTGCACAGGTGGGCCTTGTGAGCAATCTTGTCATGTGCGATTGCTGGAATTAGGTAGGATAGGAATGGGTTCGTGGCCTAATGGAAAGGCGTCTGACTCCGGATCAGAAGACTCGGGGTTCAAGTCCCCGCGGACTCATGCAGCTTTTTCCGCTATGCACCGCTAAAGCAGGGGTAGTTTTTTGGCGCGAAAACAAGTTTTTGTTGTTTTTGGCGCAGATGGATGACGACAGCTTCCTAACGGAGACCACCACCGCCACGCCGTGGTTCGCAGAGGGTGAGGGCGATTCAGAACTTGATATAGAGGAGGAGGATCTTGATGAGGAACTAGAAGAAGAAGAGGAATTCACCGATTTTGACGAATCCTCACAGGGCTTTTCAGAATCAGAGTCAGAAGCGAGTGGCCCGGGCGTCCGTAGGCGAGGGGGCGCGGGCGACTCTTTCGCCTTCGCAGCCTCGACCACCTCCACCTCCTCATCTACCGTCTTTTCTCAGGCGCGAGGTCAGCTGCAGCTGTCGGTGCTGCCCAAGACGCTGCCATGCCGCGAAGCGGAGCGTAAGAACCTTCACGCCCTGCTCCGTGATGCCCTCGCCAACAACACCACCTGCAGCATATGTATGTACAGTCCACCCGACTTCAAGACCCTTTCAACCCGCTGCTGCTGTCGCTGACAGCCACGGCCGACTGCCGCAGATATCTCTGGCGTGCCTGGCACGGGTAAGACTGCCACGGTGCTCGGCATCGTGCGCGAACTGCAGGAAGAGGTGGCGAATAAGGTTCGAACCCGTGCTCAAGGCGTGGTGGTGCCGATGTCGCGCTTTGCTCACCAACGCACACACACACACACACACACACGCACACACGTGCAGACGCTTTCTGACTTTCAGTTCATCGAGTTGAACGGAATGACGATCGCCGACCCGCAGCGTGCCTACGTCATTCTGTGGTGGCACCTCATGGGCCAGCGCGTCTCTGCCAAGGCCGCGCGCCTACGGCTCACCGACTACTTCACCGGCTCGGCCAAAAAGGGCACCTCCAGGCCCAAGAAGAAATGGTGCGACGCCAACCCTCGTTGGTACCGCTTGGTATCAACACTGGCGGACTGACTTCAACCACACGATCAACACATCGTAATCGTCATCATCATCGCAGTGTGCTTCTCGTGGACGAGCTGGATCTTCTGGTGACCCGCAAGCAGGACGTCATCTACAATCTGTTCGATTGGGCCACGCGCAAGTCCTCCAAGCTGATCATCGTCGCCATCGCCAACACGATGGACTTGGCGCAGAGGATGCTGCCCCGCGTGGCGAGTCGAATGGGCTTCCAGCAAATCATGTTCACCTCCTACACGAGGGTGCGTCTGCGTCTACTCCCCAAGTTACGCTCATGCGCACTTGTCTTACGTGTGGCACTCACTCGCTCATGCGCCTTGCCTGTAAACGTTCACAGGATCAACTCGAGCAAATTGTCAAGGCCCGCTTGGCCTCGATTGACGCGTTTGACTCAGACGCCATCACCTGGTAAAGGCTAAGACTTAAGTCTTGGTTCTTGGCCGATCATCAATGACTCTAACTCCGAGGTGATGTCGATGATGGTGGTCTCTTCGCGGTCCAGGTGCGCCTCAAAGATTGCTGCCGTGAGCGGAGATGCGCGAAGAGCGTTGCAGATTTGCCGGTACGCTGTGCCCTCCAGCGACTTCCTATGTATCCACCACAGCAGCTGACGTACGGTTTCCTATTCCTGTGCAGACGAGCTGCCGACATTGCCGAGCTTGCCTCGGAAAGAGGGAGCAATCCCTCCGGTACGGCACTCTCTCAGATGACACGTAGCTAGCCCTCTTTCTCTTCGTGCGCTTACCTCAGTGTGGCCACTCGGTCCGCCAACGAACGGGTCACAGGTCGCGTCAGTGCGGAGCACGTGAGGGGTGCCATCGAGGAGATCCACTCGGCGCCGCAGATCCGCCTCATCCAGGCTGCCACCCTACACGAGAAGCTGTTTCTGTGCGCCCTCGTGCAGGAGCTGAGGGCCACCGCAGCTCCGCAAACCACCTTCGGCAAGGTTAGCAGCTCGCAACGCACACGCGCCACCGCACACGCACGTCACCACCCACTCAACACTCCATTTCCAGGTGTTGCATCGGCACAGGTACATTTGCAACGCTCTCGGTCGTGAGCTGCCCAACTGCTCGGCGATCTCGTCCATCTGCTATCGACTCGCGTCATGGGGTCTCCTCGATGCCGGTACGGGCGTGCAACTTGCAATGTTGAACTCTCGCTCCCACCCCGTGCGCACGATCTGATCGTGATACGCGCAACAACCGCACAACAACCAACAGATCCCGCAAGCAACGACCTGCTGGCGCGGGTGTCGCTGCGCGTGCCGCAGGAGGACGTGGTGTTTGCGATGCAGAACGATCCCCTCGTCTCCGAACTCTTCCAACTCATCATCCCCTTCCTCTCCGGCTGACAACACGAGTGTGCCACGCAACATGAACAAACAAGAAAGCTGTTTTTTGCGACAACCAGAGAAAAAAAGGGGAAAAGGCGAAAAGCAAAGGGCGGAGAAAAATCTGCGCGCCAGATGAACATCAGCGAGTAGTGCGGTGGAAGAGTTAGGGAGGAGGCCATCTAGCTTCGCGTCAGAGTGTTGAGAGAGGAGAGGAGAGATGAAGGTGAAATCGCTGAAGGAGATATGTCTCATCTTTGTGGGGGCCAATTTTCACGCAATCGGCCAAGGGCCATTTGCATCGATGCCTGCCGAGCTAAAGCACAAAATTTTGCAGTCTGTGTGCTTGCGAAGGAAGAACTTTACGCCGGCCGAGTTCCAGTTCTTCATCGAGCCATCAGATCACCTTACGAGCCTCGATCTCTCGCAATGCCGCACCCTGAACGAAAATCACTTCGAATTGATGGCCACGAAATTGCGGCAGCTCGTGAGCCTCAACGTGGCCGGCTGCGTGAGCGTCACGTACGACGTGCTGCAGCGAATCACCGAGTCGTGCCCTCACATTCGGCAGCTCACTCTGAGCGGCTGTCCCAAGGTACTGCGCTATCGCCCTGACTTCCTCACCCTCTCAACAAGGTCCTTTCCTCAATCCGTGCATCCATCTGTCATGACTACGGTAGGTCACAGACTCGGGCGTGGCGCTGGTGGCAACGACCTACCACACCAACCTGACGCGGTTGGAGCTCAACGAGTGCTTTGAAGTGACGGATAACTCGTTGGCCTCCCTCTCTGAACAATGCACAAACATCAAGGCGCTTCATCTGGGCTACTGCCAGTATATCACTGGTACGCTCATCAGCTTTCGCAGACACTGGCCGGCAGTCATGCTACCCTCCGCCAAGTTTGCGCGCTCGTCAGTACGCTTTCCTCGTTAACGACGGCACGCTCGTGTGCAGACAAGGGCACGGAGATGCTGTGCCGAGCGTTGCCGACCAACCCCAAGATGTCGTACATCCACCTTGAAGAAATCACACTTGACTACTGTACAGAACTCACAGACAAGGTACGGCACTCACTCGCCCCGTATAGTCAACCTCGCGCACTCACGCAACTTGAATGTAATTTTCTTGTGCATGTGTGTGCACACATGTGCTGCAGGCCATACAGCAGCTGGTGAGCTTCAACTCCACCCTGCGATACCTGTCGATGAGCGGATGCAAGATCACCGACAACGCCATCCGCTACGTGGCCGGGTATTGCGCGCGACTGGTCACGCTCAACGTCAAGGAGTGCGACATGCTCACCGACTACACGATCACCGGTACTGGACCACCCTCCTCCTCCTACTTTCGATCGCGGCACCACTTTTTGGTATGTTGGTTGCTCACGTGTGCCGATGCAGTGATTGCGCAGCGATGTAAAGGACTGGAGGCGTTTGATGGATCGTGTGGCGGCCGCTACACCGACGCATCTGCCCAGCAGCTCGCGCTCTACAGTCATCAGCTGAAGAGCCTCAGTCTCGCACGGTACTAATCTCAATGACACGCATACGCACACGCACCACCGCACACGCACACGACTCCTGTCTGCGTTCGTTTAACCTTCGCCCAATTGCAGGTCGGCCGCGATTACCAACGCGTCGCTCGGCTCGATCGCCCTCGGGTGTAGTCGAATCGAGAGTCTCAACATCAACGGGACGCAAGTGAGCGATGAAGGGCTCAAGCAACTTGTGACCAGCTGTCGTAATCTCAAGCAGGTACGGCCGGCCCTTCACCTTCACCTTCATCACCACCTTGAATTGTCGATGCAAGCTGACACACTCACTTCTCTTTTGCTTTATTGTCGCCGCCATCAGTTGGACGTTTCGTTTTGCAAGCGCCTCACGGTGGACGGGATCCGGCTGCTGCTGACGAACTGCCCGTCGCTGCAGAAGCTGGCCATGTGGGGCATCACCGTGCCGGACGACATCATGCTCCGCCTCAGCCGCCCGCGACCCGACCTCCACATCAGCCGCACCCACCACAAGGTCGCCTCCTTCTCGTCGTCGTCTTCCTCATCGTCGTCATCATCGTCTTCCACGTCCGCTCCCTTCCCTGGGCTCGTGCTACCCAAGTAAGGTTGTGTTATTATAATATATTATCTTATAAATAAATAAATACCAAACACAAAATATTATCAAAATATGAGTGTTTTATTTGATTTCTTTATTGGTGGTTATTCTGTTTCTCATCTTTTCGAATCGGCCAATGAAAAATCAAACTTGGGTGGAAATGGTGGAGTTTTCTGGGACGTGCGAGGCAGAAGTGCGGGGGAGGTGGCGGAAAGGGACGCCACTGGTCATCAGCTATAAAAAGAGGGCAATCAACGCCACAACTTCAACCCCAAGCAGCCAGCCAAGCAAGCAACACTATCAGCATCAACACATACACAGACATGAACAGCGCCCAGAGTGACTACACCACCAATGAGAGGAGGAGGAAGCTGCTCGCCTGCCTTGAGGCCACCCTCCAGGTAACAACTACCACCATTCAAACGCCGCGTCTTCTTTTTCTTCTACACCACCTTCAAGATCTTCTTGAGCTGTTTCTCAACTGAAGCGTTTTTCTTTCTTTCTTTTCTTCTTCTTCTTCATGAAACGTAGGAGAACGCGGCGGCGGAGGCCAGGAGGCGAGAGGCCTGGATCGAGGAGGAGAAGGAGCGCCGCAGGCGCATGCAGGAGCAGCTCGAGCGGGAGAAGGGCGACGCGCTGCGCGACCCCGTCAAGCAGCAGGCCGAGGACAACAAGGAGGAGCTCCAGCACCAGCTCCTCTCCGCCTTCTCGGCCGTCACCACCCACCAGGCCGAAGAAAACGAGAGGTACCACTTCAGCTCAGCCACCACCACTCTTAAGGCCCGTCGGGCGTGAGTGACTGCGGCTGACGGTGATGACGACGGGGCGCAGGCTGGAGCGCATGTACGTCGATGCCAAGGCCGACCT